TCACAGCCTTGCAACTGAGCTGAAGGTACCACGAACAGACTGCGGCATTTGAAACTCAGTCCTTACCTTATACGCTATGCAACAAAATTACCTGAGACCTATGCTACTCAGAGACTTAGTCAATCTAAAAACGTATTTAAACTGCATCTAAAGCAAGCCGTGATGAATATAAGGACAGCATCGGCCTAAATAATTGAAGACAGCACTTCAGGCTATGGACCAATTAAACATGAAAAAGATGGCACAGAGAAATGCTGGTAAGGAATGCAGATACAGCTGGCCTTCCCAGATTTTGCAGAAAGCTGGCGTATAGGACGTCAGGTCGGAAAGATGAAACTGCCGTCTATGCAGAGATTCATAAAAAGATATATGCAGAGATTCATAAGAGGCCTTCCAACGGAGGAGTCTGTCAGGAATCTGTTGCAAATGGCTAACCCTGTTGCTCACTCGAGCACAGCTGACCTGTTATTCACATGAAATGCACAGAAATGAGAAGTGTCCCGGTGTTCACAGGAAACTCTTACTACCAGATTGCTCCAGAATTAAGAGGTTTGCCTTCGTAATTAACGGTCACTGAACAGTTTTGAGAAATCCTACCAAAACCCAGGCCCCTGAATGCTCTTTCCCCCAGAAGGAGATGGGATATTAGTACGTGACTGGCAATAGCTGTGTTGCTTAACGCCTCCTTTGCAGAACGGTAGGGATGTTGAAAGGCTACGAAAGCCACATGAAATCGTAACCAGGTTTTATCAGTGCCGATCAGCACAAAGTCTGAAGGAAGCACCTCGGGGCTCGTCTGCACCGTTTCAGAGAGCAGCTCAGGGAAACAGGACTGAGCACGCCTGGCCCACACTCGGCGCACCTGCTTCTGCTGACCTAAACCAGCGCTGCCAGCTCTCCCATGCGGCTGCTTCAGGATCATCCCCCGTGCGGGCTCCTGAGCTCTCAGTCCCTGGCAGGTCTGCCAGAGCCTGATGGGGAGGAGCGTGGAGCCACCTTCACAGGTTCACACGCTCAGAAAAGTTCCAGTGAGAACAGGCAGACCCGACTCTGGAGAGGACAGCGTGGCCACAGGTTTGCAAACCACGGGAAGAGCTAAGTTCAAGCCACGCGCTCCTGTCATTTTGTGCTGCATCAAGGGACATTTTTGAGATCAAGATAAGGGACATTAGGGAGCGTGTTGATCTGCTGAACAACTGTTAAAAAGAAAGTAGCCTGACACATGCGGTCGCTGCACCCGCGATCTGCACAAAGGAGGTAACAGGATGATCTTGTTTTTGCTTAGATCTCTCCCTTGCAGAAGTCCGTCACAGGACTCGGAAACAGCAACACCCAGAGCAGTTACTGAGTAATTTATTAAGTTCTAGGAAAACTGATCCGGTGACCATCTCCATGGCTACCTGCCTGGTAATCAGAGATTTTAGAAATTACTTCAATTGGCATAAAGGATCCCAAAATACCATATTTTCTCGCACATAGCACACCCTGGAACATAAAATCTACCTTGTTTTTGAAAGGCAGAATAAAGAAATAGATTTTCCCAGAGTTATGGCTGCATAAAGCAGGGACAAAGCCTGATCTTCAGCTCACTCACCCCCCTCTTCCTGCTTACCTAAAGCTGAAACCCTAGCTGCTGCTGAGGGCTGGTCTCCAAGGGCTAGATCCGCGATTCTCAAAAGAGCTCTGAAACAGGGGGAGAGAGACCAGGAGCTGCTAGCAGACAGCAAAATTGCCCTAAGGAAGTTTAGCTTGATTAGTGGATCATTAAAAAGGACAGACAATTGTTAACACCTGTAGAGTGAAGAACAATAAGCCATTAAGTCATATATTGCATAGACATTAGGGCTGGAAGGGACCTCGCAAGATCATCCGGTCCAGTCCCCCGCCCAAAGGGGCAGGCAGTCAGCAGGGGTCAAATGATCCCACCAAGATAAACATCCAAGTGTTTCATAAGGAAGCCAGAGTAGGTGCCTGCACCACCTCAGGAAGGAAGTCTACTCCAGGCCCTGGGGACTTGAAGAGTAAAGAAGTTTTTCCTCATGTCTAGCCTAAAACGGTCTTCCAAGAGTTTGTGACCACTGGACCCAGTCTTCTCATGGGGTGCCCTGGTGAACAGGCGTTCCCCCAGTTCCTGATGCACACCCCTGACGTACTTATAGGCTGCCACCGAGTCTCCCCTGAGCCTGCGCTTTTCCAGGCTGAAGAGTCCCACAACTCTCAAACTCTCCTCATAAGGCCTGCTCTCTTGACCTCTGATCATGACCGTGGCTCTCCTCTGGACTCTCTCGAGCTTCTCCACGTCCTTTCTGAATTGCGAAGCCCAGAACAGCTGTGGACTCACCAAGCCCGAGTAAAGTGGGAGGAAGACTTTCTGGGTCTTGTTTGAGATGCATTGGAAGATGCAAGCCAGAGTTTTGATCACTTTGCCAGCTGTGGCATCACATTGGTGGTTCATGTTCATCTTGGGGTCCATCATGACCCCCAAGTCTCTTTCCGATGCGGTGCTAGTGAGTGTACTACTGCCAAGCCTATAAGTGTGGTGCGAGGTCTTTCTCCTGAGGTGGAGCACCTTGCATTTCTCAGCACTGAATGCCATCAGGTTTTGATCTTGTAAGCCTGTTGGGGTTGGCCTGGATTGCCAGTTTATCCTCTATGGTGGCCACACTTCCCCATAGTTTGGTGTCGTCGGCAAACAGCCATTCCACTTATAACACCCGAGTCCAGATCATTTATAAATACACTGAAGAGTATGCATCCAAGAACAGAGCCCACAGGGGATGCCACTGGCGACCACGCTCCAAGTTGATTCGGTTCCATCAACTATCATTCTCTGGGTCCGTCCACAGGGCCAGTTCCCAAGCCATCGAACTGTGAAATTGTCTAAGCCGCAATTCCCCAATTTCTTCCATGAGGTGATCATGGGACTCCGGGTCAAAGGCTTTCTTGAAGTCCAAAAATATGATATCCACCCCTTCTCCTTTGTCCAGGTGATGCGGCACCTGGTCACAGAAGAAAATCAGGTTGGTCAGACAAGATCTACCCGCCACGAAGCCGTGTTGGCGCTCTCTCAGAAATTACCTTCTGTTAGGATGTTGATAATGGTTTCCTTGATGATTTTTTCCAAGATCTTTCCAGGGACTGAGGTCAAGCTAACTGCCCTGTAGTTCTCTGGATCTTCCTTTCTCCTTTTCTTGAAGATAGGCACCACACTGGCCCTCTTCCAATCATCAGGCATGTTGCCCGAGTGCCATGAGTTCTTGAATAGCCTCGCCGTAGGCTGTGCTATAGTGTCAGCTAGTTACTTTAGCACTCTCGGGTGCAATTCCATCAGAGCCGGCTGATTTGTGGATGTCCAGCATCTTAAGGTGTTCCCTCACAAGACCAGTGGTAATGACGGGTGCAGTCATTACCTTCCCCGGTGATCCTGCCTCGTCAGGCAGGGTGATCCCACTGGGCTGACGGAAGACCAACACAAAGTAGTTGTTAAAGAGACTGGCTTTTTCCTGGGTGTCAGTTATCAGCTGCTCCACTTGGTTTAGTAAGTGTCCAATGTTACCCTTGTTCTTTTTCCCAACTTCTCACATATTTGAAGAAGGACTTTTTATAGTCCTTGATTTGAGTAGCCAGTTTGAGCTCAGTTTCAACCTTGGCTTTCCAAGTTTGCTCCCTGCAGGTGTGGGCTAGTGCTGGGTACTCCTCCTTAGTGGTGTTTCCCGTCTTCCATCCTTTATAAGCTTGTTTTTTTAGGTGCAGGAGGTCCTCGAGTTCCCTATTGAGCCAAGGAGGTCATCCAGCCCTTTTGCTACTTTTTTCTGTGGGGTTGGAATGGACTTCCCTTGTGCTTCACGGATTGCATCCTTGAGGAACGACTACTCATCATGGGCATTCCTCCCCTGCCAGACTGTGGTTTCTCAGGGCCTGAACAACTAGCCTCCTAAGCTTGTGGAAGTCGGCTTTCCTAAAGTCGAGGACTTCCATACTGCTGACTGACTTGCCAGCTTTGCAGTGAATAGAGAAAATGCTCAACACGTGGTCACTGTCTCCCAGCTTCCCTTTGATTCTCAGGTCACGGACTAGAACATCCCCTTTGGCCAATACCAAGTCCAGCAGCGCCTTGCCCCTAGTCAGTTCGTAGACTTTTCCAAACCAGACATAAAATCAGTTTCCCCCCTTAATGCATGCACCCTAATTTTTTTGGGGTGGGGAGAGGGGGCCGATTTTTGGAGAAAAAGGTGTGTGTTGTACGTGAGAAAATATTGTAAATTAAAAATCTTTTCACTCAGCCTTTGTGACCCATGACATTTAAGGTTAGTTTTCAAGTGTACTGCATGCACAATCATTCCACCAAACCTCAGGATGGAACGCCGTGAAAACTGATTCTTCACTTATGAGCCTGCTCGGGGGTTTGGTTATTGCAAAAATGCAGAAGGTATGACATTTTCTGATGGCTCTTCCACCTCACTAACAGTGCCAGGATTTCCTGTGTATCCCTGATTTCTTCCCTGCCATCTTTAACACGCCACATAATAGCTAGCTTCTTCCACCGTAAGCAGCACCTTATTTGTTCTAAGTAATCCCAAAGACTTTTAAAAGTGCCCGGCGCAGCAGCGCAAACATGTGTACAAATGCCCTCATTGTGAGGGACTAAGAAAATGCACACTAGCCTGTCATAATGCACATTAACTAAAGAACACAGTTTTTAAGTGACGCTTAAGACCCATTAACCTATTTTAATATGCATTAACTCTAATTAGACTTTTTTAAAGTGAAGCTTTAATGCACATTAAAATAGGCTAATGCGCATTAAAGCACGTGTAGACATGCCCTAAGCAAGCTATGCTGGAAACACAACCAATTTGACCAAAACAGTATTTTCAGACAAGACAGATGTCAAATTTAAAACAAAGGAGTGTGGAATTATGACATCACAAGACGCCAGTACACCACAGTGAAATTCAGGCTGACAGAAAACAAAGCAACACGCTTCAACATGACAGTACCTGACTGGAAGACGTATCTGGCCAAGCCTTGCATTAACTCTGCTGGCCACGTAGGTGGTGCCGACTCTCCTGTTTCCCTCTTGAGTCGAAATGTCAGTTCGAATCCAAAACCACTTGGCCCGTCTGTTCCTGTAAACCTGGAACGAGTAAAAAGTAAAAAGAATTACAATGCGCCTTCTTGACAAGGACTGGTTTTAGGACTAGGTATGTGGGAGAAGAGGAGGCAGGCATAAAATATGTCGGTTTTCACAAGGCCATGCCATTTCTCCTCTGCCTCCTTGGAAGAAGAGGTTTTAGACCTTTTCCAGTTGTGCTTCAGTCTACGTGCAGACCTGGCGCAGAATCACTGGGTCAGCTAGCACAAGACTTGGGTCAGAAGTAACGGTTACATTAATGCTTTCAAGCAGAACAATTGTTCTCAACCTTGGTGTGAAGCTGGTTTCCAGGGATCACTGAAATTTTATAGTCAGATTTTTTGGCTTTTTGAAAGGCTGTACACTTCGCATAGATAACTGCGGTAATTTGATTTACAGAATACTGAACACTGAGGAATGTGAAATTCATGAAACAGCCAGCAAGTTACATTTTCATATTCTTTATGCATAAAATTAAATTTCTGTGCATCAAAAATGATAACAAGGCACTGAACTTTAAATAAATATTTTTCAAGTATTACATCATATGGGTGGGTTCAGGGCCAACGAAGGCCACAGTATTTATTCTGGGATGTGGCGCACAGTATTCTGCACTGGAGGGTCCCTTCCAACCCCAATTCTCTACGATTCTATGAACAGAAAAGTAGAAATTGCAGGCACAGGTAGAAATATTACAAACCTGATTTAATTCTTTTAACTGTTACTATATACGTTGTAGGAGTCCAGCAGAATTTATTGCCAAGGTGCCTTTTCTCTGGTGTATCCAGGCAGCACTGAATGTGTTGAACCGGGAACCAGGTGCAGCAGAAACACCAGATGCCTGGCCACTTCCTATTTCTGTAGGCTTGGGTGCCAGTTTGACTTGGCTAAGTTGGGCAAGGACAATAAGGCTGCACTGAGCAGCATTAGGGGGTCATCCTGGAGGAACAAACAAAAGACTGGCCCCCCACAAGCAGCCCCTCACTTACGAGTTCCAAATTTTATGCCCTTAAAACGGCAAAACATCTCTCCAAGTCGACAGGAACGGTGGGTACAAAGACTTAATCCACAGAGCTGGAGTTAAAACCTGTGTTAGTATAAAGGAAGCAAATATCACTAATGCCACCATGTCTTACTTGCCTGTTATAGGCTGTTCTGTGAAGTCCAATATCTATATTTATCCACGGAGAGATCTATCTATCTATCCACAGAGAGATCCATCCATCGATCGCACGGAGAAATCCTACAAGATCTTGTGAACCAGTACCGTTCTGAGAGTTGTGCAAGTTAGCAAAAACCCTTATAGTTACTGGAAAGATCCATAGAGAAACTTTGTGAACTCCTTGGATCCAGCTGCCTCACTGACATGAAAGATAGGATGCAGAAAGCATTACTAGTCTATGGGATACAGACAAATACCTAGTTGGTCTAAAAAAAAATATCACCTCTACCATGAGCTCTGATTCCCTAGTGGTCTATTTATACTAAAAACAGACAGACAGTAGGAAAGGCTTGACTAGAACATTTTCCAGTTGTGGAGCACGGACCACGAGGGCTTCCAAGGGCTGAGAGAGCTACTATAAGGACAAAGAGGTTGTCTGTCTTCATAAAAACAGAAGCAGTGCCATACTGGGTCAGACCAATGGCCCAATACCCTGTTCAGTGGCAGGACTGGATCCTTTAGAGCAGCATTTCTCAACCGGTGAGTTGTGGCCCAAAAGTGGGTCGCAAGAATATTTGAAAGGGTTGCAAGCAAGACCCAGAAAAATGCAGGTTTCCCTTTATAGGCTGGCAGCCTTCCAGCCTGCAAGAAGCTGTTTGGGGTGATTGGCGGCAGCGGGTGCATGTGTGTCTGCACACGCACACGGCCAGCATGCAGCCAGGCAGGGTGGTGGGAGCAGGCCCAGCAGCTGGATGCACGTAAGTGTACAGGGGGTGGGGTAGGAGGTCCAGGCCTTGGGGACTGTCTGGTGGGGCAGGGCTGTGGAGAGAACAGCTGGGGGGCGTGCCTGCTGGCACTGGGGGAAGGTGGCCAGGCACTGAGACTGCATCAGGGCAGAGGAGGCAGGGGGAAGGTGCCTGCCCCCCCAGCAGGGAAAGGGAGTGGGGAGGGCCCTTCAGGGGCAGCAGGGAGCTACGTGGCTGGGCTGGTGGCACTGGAGCTGGTGCTCATTCTCTCAGGGGCGAGGTGCCCAGGAGATGCCATGGCCAGGCTGCCCGGTGCGGCCCAGGAGCCCCAGCCCAGATCCTCTCCTCCTTCCTCCAGCCCGTGCCAGGGCCGGATTCACTCTGCTGCCGGCTGCATGAGCCAGAGCCACTGTAGCCACTGCACTCCAGCCTGAATGGGACCGGGGCAGCTCCAGGGGGCAGGGGGCTACAGGTTGGGAGTGAGGGGCACCAGCAAGGCCAGGGCACCGTGGGTCAGGACTGTCCACCGGTGGTTGCAAATGGGTCCTGGTACAAAAAGGGTTGAGAACCACCACTGTAGAGGAAGAGCAATGAACTGAATCTCTCTAGAGGGATCGATCCCGTATTCATTACCCTCCCTGGCATCTACCCTTATTGGTATAGAGATGCCAGAGGGAACATCTCCAACCAGTCTGTTCAGCAGCTATTACTAAATGTTCAAGGTAGCTCTGGATGGGGCAACATCTAGGAGAGTTTGAGAACGACAAAATAGAAGGGCCACGTTGTTCCCTTCACAGCAAACCCTAACTATTTTTATTAGGGTTTCTTTGATGCACGTTAAATTGTGATCGGATTTGCAAATGACATCAGCGTATATCCAAGGACGGGGCTCAGCTACGAAACAACCTGCAGAGATGAGAGCAGCTGTGACTGCAGGCAACGAGAGAAAGGATAGTGAATAATTAAAGTCTTCTACGCGGGAGAGGAAAAAACAACAAATGCAGCAAAGACACAAATTACGGGCGTAACTCAGCAGCTTTGCCCAGCACATTAAAGCCTCTTCATTTTCATGGGGTCCTCTTAATCCTGTTCCTAGCAAAGCACTCCACAGGCACTGACCTAGAGGAAAAGCGAATTGTCTACAAAAGGGACAGATGCTGTATTCAAGAACGGCGGACTGAAAGCCGTGACTGCACTTTTTAAACAGAAAACAACTGCACTGTTTAGCGCTGACCGAACCATTAACCGCAGCAGTAACTTAGGATCGCAAGTAGAATTTAAACATACAGTAAAACTCGCCCCGCCGGACCACTTCTGAGCAGGGATCCTGGTTTTCTCTGATAAAAAAAAAAATCTCCAATTTTTGGATTAAAAAACGGAACCCAAAATCCGCATTTTTCCATGCTTAAAATGAAACGACCACTGTATATGCATCCATATATTAGTGGCGTTTCATTTTAATCACATGGGAAAATGTGGATTTGGGGTTACTTTTTTCATTCAAAAACTGGGGATTTTTTTTTAATCGGAGAAAACCAAGATCCGTGCTTATGAGGACAAACTGAAACAACTGCTTCAGGAAGCTGGCAGTCTCAGAACTGTAGATCAGTGTTTTATTTCATATGCTTGGGGATATTTTGGAGGGGTTTTTTAATACAGGAGATTGCTTCATAGGCGTCGTCTCAAAAGGGATGGTCTCCTAAAAAAAAAAAAAAGAAAAAGAGGCGTCTCTGTCCTAGGTATGAAAAATGTCGATTCCAGGGTTACCTTTGATGCCTTACCTCAAACTGTCAAGAGTCAATGTTGAAGCTACCGCATAATGCCGACCTCTCTCAGTGAATATACACATGATTTCAGGGCTAAGTGGATGGAGGGGAGTCCTTGCAAGCAGGTAGCTCCACTGAAGTCAGAGGGGCTATTGAGGAGGTAACACCTGGACTCCTCGCTAGTTCAGTTCTGCCTAAAGCTGTTCAAGTTCTACCGTACAAAGGGAATCTGAATATCCAACCCTAAGCTGCATGGCTAGAACGACACGATTTTCATGGTGACTACAAAAAGAAGCAAAACAGAGACGTTCTGCCACCACGGAGCATGATGCAGGTTTAATATGAAAACAGCCTGTGTATTAAAGGAAATTCTTCTTTGCAAAAAAATGCAACCACTTTGACAGCTTGGCAAGAATGACTTTGCAGCATTCAGATCTTTAAATAAAGAATGTGGTTAAAGGAAACTATTCTTTGGAAGTGGCTTTATTCCACTGAATAGATTGAAACAGTGGTAAGAGAAGTTGCATTTGAAGGTCTGATCCAAAATGTTTGCTATATGCTTGTCAGTGACAAGTGGTTACTGAAAAAGCCGCCGTTTTGCAGACTGAAACTCTGAACAGATGTAGCTGGTGTGTCTTCTATTAGCACGCAAGGGGAACAACAATCGAGGGGCTGCAAGTCTGATCTGAAGCCATTTACTCTCGAGCTTGTAATGTGTAAATATATATATGTGGAATAAAGAAATACCCTTACTCTTCATGCCTTATTTTAAAAGCCAATCTATACTCACTATGAAATCCTTCCGTATTTACTTAGGAGGCAAGCCTCATGTTAACATATATGTTCAGAACATGCAAAGCATTTCCCAAAACAGAAACAAAGAAAAGTACCCCTGTATTTTGGGACCCCTATGAATCACTTTGCCTAGATCCAAGATCTGATTCACTACTTCACCAAAGCTGCCGTTTTTGTTTCTCCCTTGAACATCATTTCTAAAGAAAATAAACTGTGAGAGATGTCACAGCAGTTATCCTAAAAGCCAACAAGAAAAATCAGGTTTCCCTCCTTAATACACCCCCCCCAACGTGCAGGGTGGGGGGGGTGATTTTTGGAGAAAAAGGTGTGTGTTGTATGTGAGAAAATATGGTAAATTAAAAAGCCTTCCAAATCTTTTCACTCAGCCTTTGTGACCTATGCCATTTAAGGTTAGTTTTCAAATATACGGGCTGCACAATCATTTCACCGAACCTCAGGACTGAACACCGTGAAAGCTGATTCTTCATCTCTGAGCCTGCTCGGGGGGGG